GTGTAAATGTGTAATACTATAACACTATATTAGTTCCTATATAGTTTTATTGCGGTAATATCTAATGATTTTTGGTTTTTATTTTTAGTGTCCATGTGATTTGTTTTAAAAAAATAAAGAAGATATTATGTTCAAAACGACGGATAAAGAGGTAAGATTTTTATTTTAAATTTCGATAGTATAATACAATTAGCCATTAGGCACCTGATGATATAAATAAGTAGGTAACAAGTAACACAATAATTCATTCTTAATGTTAATGCATGCGTGTGTTTAATGTTTACAAGGGGATATTGTATAGGGAAGGTGTGTTACGTGTACTTACAAAACTCGTATTTCCGATTTCGTATACCTACATAGATTCCTAGGCACTTTAAGGTATCCATACGGTATATCAATATACTTTTAATATTATTAACATAAGAAGTATACATTTAAACTGTAAATGGTATTTTAAAAATATAAAAAGGTTTTAAATTTATCAAAAACATTTTTTATTTTTAGAATTCAATGGATGATGATTTTCTTTAAATGCACGATAGGTACTTATTAAATAAATAAATCTTATATTGATAAATAAGAATTTATTAACAATGGTATTAATTTTAAATAGCGATATTTAAAAATAATATATCGTATTCAGTATATAATTATTAAAATTCACAATAGATTACGTCATCTACTTTTTAGCTACAGTTTTAAGTATTAAAAATAAAAATTGAGTCTAACCAAAACTGAATTTAGTCTTAAGTTATTTGATTATTATATAAAATCCGGTTTGTTTTATTATCAGCTCAGTCTGTTATTTTTTACTTTGTCATTTATAGGTATTTTACAATGTAAATGGTCAACTTTAACTTAAATATTTTATCACAATAAAAGCTCATATTCTAATATTGCTAATTTAACTGTTATTTATTCGTATGACATGACTTATTATAAACGGTATCAGAAATTAATTTAATCATTTCCAGTCATGACTTATGAATATTATTATATGAAAGTAAATTTTTTGTTAAATTGAATAATTACCTACTGATATATTTTATTAAATTCTCTGTACAGTATAGTCTGTATACAATGCACGAAATTGTATTATTTATACCGTCCATACCTACTTTCTATGTAGTATTGTCAGAGTTATACAACCATTGAACCATAAATAGTAAATACTAAATCACTATAGGCTTTAATCTCTTGTAGACAAATATTGTACTAGGATTAAACAGCGTCCGAATATTTACGATAAGATCCAAAAACTGTACTCACTATAGATATTAAGTATCTATAATCCATACCTAAGGGCTAAGATATATTTATACCTTTGTAGAATATACTATTTATAATCTTCAGATTTAGAGAATAATGCCTTATTTATATTGAGACATTGAATAACGTGATATTTTATGAATATTAATAAATATCATATTTTGTATTCAGTCATCGTAATAAATATTATGATTTATGATATAGTATATACCTACCTATTACTTAGAATAACATTATTAATACTCATATCCAAAATTCAGTGACTCTCAAACTTTTTAAAGTGATAATATTCTAAATTAGGTATTTCATTTTGTTGTGTAACTTCAAAATATTGTTTGTATGTTCATGTATAGTTTAGGTTACGTGTTGTCATATTGGTGACTTTAAATAGTTAGTTTGCTACTTTTAAGGAAGTCGTGATTCGCGACCCCAGGTTGAAAAGTGCTGGCCTAAATGATATACTTGTTTCAATATAGGTAGCTTTTACTGTTTAAAACTAAAAAAAGGTTGTATATAACAAAAGAACGTGTTTTGATATAATATGAACCAATATTTAAAAAAATATTAATAGTGATATACATATATAAATTTAAACTACAATAATTTTATAACCTCGGTGTTGAAAATTAGTAGAAAAAAATTAATTTACTGAAAGTAAAGCAATTCCTATTCTTTTGTTCGTATAATTGAGTTATTAACTTGTTTCGTAAAGTAAATAATAACTATATACATTGTACATACAATATGTATCATTACCTACTTTGATCACATAGGTAAATTATTATAATGAATACATGGTGCGATTTTTTTTAGAAATTGATGCGTAAATTGAAATTAACACATGAATGGGTAACGTATATAGTAAACTTATCGTATAATGCATATTTTCATAGGTTTAAAATAGTATTGGTATAGTTATGTTTATACAAAAGTAAAATAATACAAGCTACACTGCCTATATAGATATATATATTATAGTGAACTAATATATGATAACATAAAATATGTGTGTACTATATAGGTACATTGAATATCTACGATTTTGTTATTCCATGAACTTAAAAAGCATAATTTTAAATTTATGCCGATGTTGTAAATATGTACGTGACAGGGTTTATATATTAGACAACAATGACAATAATTTGTTTTCATTGTTAGACATTGATACACTAACTACATACATTGTATTCCCGTCAGTTTTAGAAAGTGTCGCAATCTTTCGTTTATAGGAGACTCTGCAGTTTGACAACTATATAATATTATATACATATTATATATATTACATAGGTAATATACCTAGAAGCTAGAACCTATAATAAAACGATTAAATATTAATCCTAAACAAATTCCAAATTATATTTTTATACCTATATATTTACTCTATGTTATAATATATATTTTTGTATAAATATAAAATTATAAACGTTTCAATTTTCTTCTTCATTATAATATAATAATAAGTATATACTATTGTTAATACTATAATTTTTAATTTTTATAGTTTCCAAAATGTTAAATTCATTAATTCTATATTGAACTTTATATCGTATTATACTTAGGTATATCTACATCATATATTATATTAAATTCTTTAATTTATAAATAGCTATTATACGTACATGAAAAGAAATTTTAGTCTACTGCAAAACTTGTTAATAGCTTAGAAATTTGTTCTATATATACCTGCAGTATGTATAATGTATATTATGTGTAAAAAAAAAAATACCTTAAGACATATATTATTATTTTAGGTTGATTTTTTTAAAATGTTTTTTTGTATTTCCTTAGTAAATTCTTTTTACAATGTTTTGTTATAAATAGGTAGTTGAAAGAAGAAGATATTCCTATACGCATACCATATGTATGTAAATATAGTAGGTAAACGAACACACGTTGCATACAAAATGTCTTTCACCGGGGTCAGGTTAATTGTGCTAATTTAAAAAAAAAATTTATTTCCGAAGTCTATTCGAGAGGTTTCTCAATGGGAACGAAATCCTATTACGATTGACAACTAATACCTATCGACAGGTCAAATTAATTAGCCACATACTATTTATCGATAAACTGAACGTATTCAGAGAAGTCATCTTTTTATTTTTTTTTTAAAAGACCACCCAAGGATTTTGGGTGTATGCTATTGTTGTGCTATGTACCTACATATAAAAAAAAAATGTGAAGAAATACATCACTTAACGAACAAATTAACTTTTTGATTTACTTTACGAGATTTGTTTATGCCTAGTAAATAATAAATAATAATTTAATTGTAAATTTTAAGTCCCCTGAAAAAGAACCACACCAAAAAATCTTCAACTCAAGGCAAAAAATTTCCTAGAAGTCAATATTATCCTACATAGCAATTTTGACACGAAAAGTTAATATTTTTAAAACAAATATAGATGTAGGTACTTAAGATATAAATATTAAATTATCATTTTTAAATATTGCAGAAGTTCAATAATTATTAAAAATTGAAAATTAAGTATTAACGAATTATTAAATTAAAAAACAAAAAAATATTTAACCTTGATGTTTAAAAGCAATTTAATTTATTTTTATATTTATATTATTATTTTCAAACATTAACAATAATATTTTGTTTTATATTCGATATGACATATCATATAAGGCGTAAATATTATGCTAAAAATATAATTATTAGGAAACATTTTTAAGTTTTACCAAATAAATTATACTAAACATAGAAAATTAAAATATAAAATCACTTTTTACTTTTATAATTATATTACTCCAAATGTTCAACAAAAAATTAAAAAGTTAAATAATTAAATAATAGTTAGGTACCTATTTATTATACAGTTAATTATTATACCATTTCCTCATATTATTGATAATTAGTTTTAAATTTTATAGAAATTAAGTATTACGGGATTCAATCCCGGTGATTTTCATTTCGATTTTCTAGTAACATTATTTACGTCTAAAACAAACAATAGTTATTAATTGCGGTATCATATTGCAAGTCAGTATCATTTTATTGAATAACTGATCCAAATTCAAATTAGACAAAATGATAATACTACTACGACTGTATTAGTGTAATATATTTATATATACAGTATCTCATAAGTACTAATTATATGTATCAACGTAGATTTCTAAGATTTTCCCTATCACCAACTAAAAATTGATGAGTAATTTATGATGAATGAGATATGGAAAAATTCTAAAACTTGACAACACAAACGTTTATAAGCCATTTTTAAAGACAACTTTTTTATGCATATAAAACGTTATTCACACATACGTTAAAAAATGTAAAATTTCAAATGTCTATTAACGTTAAGAACTGGAATGATGGTACGTTACGTATGAATGTATGTAGTTTAAAGAATTCAAATTTTGTTTGTGTTTGATATTTTTTTCGTTACACTTTTAAAATAAATTAATATTATGCACTATATTATTATAATATACATTAATACATTTAATATTATTTATACTCTGTCGTTTCGATAATAGTAAGTACTTGGTATATTATTACATGCATTATGCATACGCGCGCTAAATGCCGAGACAAAGCGTGGTCGAATGACGAAGAGGTATCTGGTATTTAATAATGACTACAACCAGGGTAAGCGCAACCACTCCGATCGCCAATCAGCATAGCAGGGATTCGGCGAAAAAAGAAAATATTCCGCGACATCCGCGGACAGTATCGAATGCGCTCCGATGAGATTTACTTAATTACTTTATCGCCTGAAGTCGGCCGCGACTGTCGTCTGTGTCATTTGTGCTGAGTGTGACACGAATATTTTTCGGTTTAGTTTTTAACGCGCTACAGATTGTTACAGGTCTGTAACACGCGTACCTACCTATATATAGTTTTTCTATTGTTTCGTGTCAATTCGTTCTCAATTTATTCGTAACGCGACTCGATCGGTTCTGGCGGTTCTGCTACACGCAAGAAAATAATAATATATTATGTTTTAGAGCACCGTGTCGCGACGAAACAACGCGCTATAACGTTTGTTATTCCGTTAATCGCCACAAAGTATAATTATAGTTGACGGATTTTACGCGGACCCGGGTTTAAATGTTTACATTTTGAAGTGCCCATTATACAATACAGGTACTTAGAAATTACAGTCTTAAATAAATTTATCAACTTAACATATTAATATAATAAAATATTATAACATATCAATATATCATACAGAACTTCGTATCTGCATAGCTGGTATGTTAATTCGTATTTATTATTATTACCTATTTGTTTTTAACCTACCGACGTACAGTCGTATAATTAGTATCTTATGTACAGGTTGGTAATATCTGCACTTTATTTTGATTTTATCGCTAATCATTTCCGATATAACTATTTTTTATATATAGGTATGTATATTTATGAAGCAAATACGTAAATAAATCGTAAATTGTCTTATTTTGTGTAAATACGCTGCGATATAGGATGGTATCTAGTAATTGATTAATCAGTTGAACTGTCATTACTTACTCGTTGGGGTTTATTGAGGACAGAAATTTGATGTGGCCCATTGCGATTTATTTAACAGACCAAAAAGTGTATGTTTAACACCTGCGTGTTACTCAGACGATCACGCGTATTACCTACTCGTATTAGTCACATTTATTACATTTTTTCAACTCATTAATAAAAAGTTCATCATTATTTTATTTTTAGTTTCTAGGATGGTTAATTTATAGTTGAATGCATAAAATTATAAAAATTTATTTCCATAAATTTCCAGCCATTCAGTTAATTTAAATAGTTATGTATGGACAAAAACAAAATAAAATAGTGAGGTCCTGTATGGCTTACTTTATATTATCCTGTATAGGTTTATGTATAAGTCGATTAATTATTATTTAGTTGGTACTCTATGATGTTTTTAATATGTGTAAAAATATTAGTAGATTTGTAAGTGTTAGTATTTAATTTGTGTGATTGAGTAGGTATATACATATTTAGAGGTAAATAATATTTCACTTTATTAAGGCTCCATGATCTAAATACTTAGTTTTAATTTTTTGCAAAGTATTGAGTTAAGTTGATAATCAAATTTAAAAAAATGTGCCCAAGTAGGTAACGCACTGCTGTACGCAGTATAGCGTCAAGTGTACTTGGTCATTGAACAAGTCACTCTTATTGAACACACTGACTGTTAAATTTGAATTCAACGATAAACTATTGTACACGAAAAACCCCTCGAAAAATGATTCTGAGCTGAGACGGTCTGTTAGCTTATATTTCTAGGTCTATTTTTCAACATATCTATATAATTATTGTAGTATCTTATTTATGTTAATATAAGTAATATGGTTGGTAAAATTAATTTTTGCCGAAAACATTGTATTTATTATATTAGTATATACAGGGGTATATTTAAGGCATTGCGAACTATGCAGCCGCATAGGACAGCAAATTTTGGAGGGCGGCAAATTTGTGTTGAATATTTATTTTGTTTTTATGTAATAAACTTACATAATTTATAATTTTTACCATTTCTACATTTTGAACGGTGTTTTTGGATTTTGTATTTGTTTATTTTTAGTAAATTAATATTTTTTTTCCCCAGGAACACGTCGATGACGACGACGATTGTGCAGTATTTTAACTTATCTAATTGTTTATAAAATATAGATATGATACACTTAACGTTATGTAGGTACACATTTGCTTTAAAGAGATCGTAATTGGTATGGGTTCATCCGGTTCATCGGGTGTGCTATAATATTACAAAGTTTATTTGATAATTTGATTCTGAGGTTTATCCGTTTATAATTGAATTAGTTGATAGTTGTCCATCCGCCAATAAGTATGTGCACACGTAAATTATTGATTTTATTAAGTTTTTCTTGTATACATTTTTACTCAATAAAAATAAATAGCAGATATAATATTTTTATAAGCTAAACTTGAATAAAAAAATAATTGCATATTATTAAGAAAATAAATTTATCTAAAAATGTTTAGTAATGCAGTGAATTTAATGGGCATAGGAGCGGAAAATTGTTAAATTCGCCCCTGAATACCTATATATTTAAATCATACACTATCATTATAAAATTTTGAGTCAATATTGATTTTTCCTTTAAAGGTAGGTTGAGTGGTTCGTGGCCTAAATAGGTAGGCAAAATAGAATTATTTATAGCATAAATATTTTTTAAAGTGTCGTGTGCACATAGAATTCTTAAAATATGCAAATATTACTAGTCCCCGATTTTTTAAGTACAACGAAATAACTAAAATCGTAATTTAATTTTTTACTTGTTAGATTTTTAAATTTCACTAGGAACAATTTTCGAGAAACCTTGTATTATGTTATCATTTTTTTTTTACCTAAAAACTGAATTATGAACGTGAATAAAAGTGCTATATTTTATGGTAGACATCTTGTAAAATAACCTAATACGTACATTTTACCTATACAAGATAATAAAACTTAGGCTTATTGGATTTTTATTTAAAAAAATGTAAATTCATTTTTAAAATAATGAGAAGGTTTATAAGATTTTAATAATTTTATGTATTAAATAAAATGACTGTATTTAGTACACTCTAAGTTTAAAACGTAAATTCAATTAATTTCAATAATTTTAAGATATGTTACTTATCTATAAAATATCATGTTATTTTTATTCAGTTTATGATATTTGTTAGCACTTTGCTGAGTAAATTTCTTTTGATATAAATTATTATATATCAAATACTTTCATTCTCACACATTTATCTCATCTCTCAATTGTGTCTGCGTTTCGTTTTTATAGATTTTTCAGTGAAAATTAACTTCAATAAAAATAATTGTAAATTGTCATGTCATATTAACATACTAGATACTTAACTTACATAGTGAGCGACTTCTTTGGTTTTTCAAATACCTATTTATTTGATTAATAAAATATTACAATAAAATAATTTTTATGTGAAAGGCATTTAGAATGATAAAACAAAAATTTCATTTATAGAAAACTCATCATTGTATTTTCATTTTTCATAATATATCTATTTCATTCTCTCTCTCTCAAAAAAAAAAAATAAAAAATAAATACTATATTATAGAGTATTATATTATTTATTATGTGATATCATCTGTTAAGTTCATATATGGCTATATATATATATATTATAGTCACACTAGTCAGATAGACGACAATACACCATAGAATGCTATGGGTTCTTATTAAAGAAAGTGTGAAAGGAAAACGCGTATATCTTAAACTCATTGCAGTATCTATTTGAAAGGCAATTTTTGTACGAAGTGCTTTCAATTATTGACTCCTTAGTAGGTAAAAATGTATATTGTGTGTAAGTAAAAATATTCAGTTCAATGTCAGTTATTATCTTATGATTTTCATGTATCTAATATACGAAATTTCGATTTTCTTTTTTTTAGTCTCAATATATGTATATGTATATTGGTAAAGTCAGAAAATAGCTAATGTTTAATAATAAGTAGTTAACCTAGTTAAGTATTTTTTATTTTATTTTTTTTTTATTCGCGATTTATTCACTGTAGACTATTGTCTTTTGTAGTTATAAATTACTTTGAAATAATATTCAGTTTTATTAATTAAAGTTAAAATATTATTTTGGTCTTTGAATATGATGACCATAAATCATCATTAAATACTCATTAGTCTAGACTCAAGGTATTAAGATTTTAAATTAATAGTTTTATTTAAATTAAATATGCTATATCCTTGTATTTTGAGGAAAATCAGTAGACAAAAGTGGTTTTGTAGAATTTAATAAGCCAGAAGGTCTGCCGAAGGGCAAAACATTAACATATTTTTGTTTTAATATAACTGTGGTCTATAAAACTAGATTTGATATTGATACCTACTTTTTTTTAATGAAGAAAAATGCATAACTTATGTTTATTTTTTGTAATTATTTATGTAATTTGTACCTGAGTAGGTACTTTAATATATTTGTAGATTATATTATTATTTATAGAAACCACGAAATATCATTATGTTGTTGATACAACCATTTGTACAATTCCTATACACCAAATGAAAATATAAATATAAAAATATAGGTTTTGTAATTTATTCTATTTTTTGTACCTATTTAGTACATAGATACAAAATTGAATTCTAATTTCTAAACATAGTTAGTTCGTCATATTATAGATAATCGATATATTGTAATATTGTACATTTATATAAGTACACATATTCACTAAGCCATATAAATAATCTTGATAATGATCATTGAAAGCAATAATAATGTTATGCATGAATATGATTTCATCCTTCGTTTAGACCCGTCCTAAGAATAAAATAATAAAGTAAATATTGAAATTTTATTATAAATTAAAACTCGATATTCAAACAATGTAGCTTATTAGCTATATTATAATACAATAAATTGTAACGGTGCGGTGGTGATAAAATACGATTACAGCAAGTAATATAAGTATGTCTTGCTATACGCACATCATATAAATGATACATTAATATTCAACCGAGTCCAACTTACATCCATCCACATATAATAAACTGTATAAGTATTGTGATTACTTACAATCCAACTGTGTTTATGTAGTCATGTAGATGTAGGGTGACCCAGTTTGGTAGCGTAATTTTGTTTTACATTTCTATATACGATAGAAAATAATTAATTTATCATAAGACTAATACACAGGAGAAAGTTAATTTTGGACTTAAGTTACATATAATTGTTAAGACTATTATAGATATTTAATGTATAATTCCAATAAAGAATTGAAACTGATAGTGATATATTAAAAATGCAATTAAAGTATTTTTGTACTATATATATTCTTTATCTTTACTATTCTATTTGTATTAATTTAGGTAAAACTTTTTTATGATTTCAACATCGAAGAAACATTGCATGCTTTTATCACATGATTAGCTTTGTAGTTATTAAGTATAGATAAAAATAATCAAAATGAAAGTTGTTGAAATAAACATTAAATTTAAAATTTCGATAGTCAACTACTTATTTCATAACATATGTAATTAAAAAAAAACTAAATACGCACCTATGGTATATATTTTATTTACAGACTAAATGTTCATATCAATAGTTTATACGTTTAAGCTAAAAACTATAAAAAAACATTTAAAGAATTCAACGAA